ACAGTCCATAGTTAGTCCGTTCTTCACGCTTTCCTTTACTAACTTGTCTAGGGTGTTCTATAGTTCTTCTTCAGTGCCTGCTATCAACACAGTGCCATCGCCAATAATATACCCTGGCTCCCTTAAGATAGCCTCGCTGCAGTGGTTGAATAAATTCGGTAAGAAGATACATCTCTGTCTTTTTCTATCAAAGAACCTAATTAATTTTATTTCCGTATACAGTCGTCTGCTCCCAATATAAGTCCTGGGTTCCCAAATCGATCTGCAATTTCCTGTTCTTGGTGCCTCTTAATAAATTTGTCTTTTAGGCAGCAAACCCTCTTTTATACAAGTTTCGGGAAAATCGACTGACATGAAAGAGCGGCTAAGCAGATGGATACTTATGAACATCTTTTAAATTTAAAAATCTTTAAACACTAAAAACATTTTTACTTTTGGTCTTTTAATGAAACATGTATGAAAGAAGAATTGCTGCCAAAATACGCAATTATTAAATTAAATAACCAGGCAGCCAACAAGGGGAGTAACCCAGTTCCTTTCACCATTTTTTAACGAAAGTTATATGAAAGATGGATTGTTGCCCAACTACACAATATATATGAACAAAAAATATATATATATATATATATATATATATATATATATATATATATATATATATATATAGTTGATTCTGCCGTCGAATTCGACGTATGAGGGTCAAGCAGATCAGTTCCCAGGAAACCGACAACCCGACAACTGCACATGAGATTTGATTATAGTGATGAAGGTTTCGTGCAGGACCAGCCACACATTTTGAAGGGCCGAATTCAGAGACCTGGTGCACCAAGTGCCACAAGATCACCAAACAACCCTCCGCAGGTTTTGAATTCAGAGTTGTCCTTCTCCTAGACCAGTTGCCATCCAAGGCTATAGAACCCAGTCTGTCCTGCTATCTACCCATAGCTGGAGGGAGAAGAAGAGGATTCACACCTTATATATATATATATATATATATATATATATATAGAGAGAGAGAGAGAGAGAGAGAGCGAGAGAGAGGGGGGAATGAGAGAGAGAGAGAGGGAGAATGAGAGAGAGAGAGAAAGAGAGAGAGAATTAATGAGAGTAAATTTTGTCACTTAACAGATTGGATTGATGTTACCTTCAGCATCCCGACTCCAAAGTTTCGCAGGCGAACCTGTCCGTCCACTCTTCAGGGGATACATCAGTCAGCAGAATTAGTCTTCCTCTACGTACAGAGTCATTTCAGGGCATGAGCAATTATGCTTCTTCATAAGTTCTTATCTTTCGTAACTTTAAGTAATGACTGATTCGTATCCCTCTCAGTCCTCGTTTAGGCAGGTTACTTGCCTTATTAACATTTTGTGTAAGAATCTATCTATCTATCTATCTATCTATCTATCTATCTCAAACACTTCATAACTATTTGCCTGTTCATATCTATCTATCTATCTATCTATCTATCTATCTATCTATCTATCTATCTATCACAAACACTTCATAGCTATTTGTCTGTTCATATCTATCTATCTATCTATCTATCTATCTATCACAAACACTTCATAGCTCTTTGTCTGTTCATATCTATCTATCTATCTATCTATCTATCTATCTATCTATCTATCTATCTATCTATCTATCACTCACAAACTCTTCATAGCTATTTGTCTGTTCATATCTATCTATCTATCTATCTATCTATCTATCTATCTATCTATCTATCTCAAACACTTCATAGCTCTTTGTTTGTTCATATCTATCTATCTATCTAATTTTTTTTCATATCTATCTATCTATCTATCTATCTATCTATCTATCACAAACACTTCATAGCTATTTGTCTGTTCATATCTATCTATCTATCTATCTATCTATCTATCTATCTATCTATCTATCTATCTATCTAATGTTGTTCATATCTATCTATCTATCTATCTATCTATCTATCTATCTATCTCAAACACTTCATAGCTATTTGTTTGTTCATATCTATCTATCTATCTATCTAATTTTTTTTCATATCTATCTATCTATCTATCTATCTATCTCTGTCTGTTCATATGTCGGTCTGTTATTACGGTCTGTCTATCTTTAATGAATCTGTTCTTAATTTAATGAAAGTGAAACGTGTTAGATTGATAAACATTTCCCATTTCTTCTTTATATTTTCATTCTGTCGGATTCAGTTTCATATTTGATCGCAACTCGTTACTCCTCATACAGGAAATGCAAACAGAAATGCTTAAGGTGGATTTAGATTGTAATTGTCGCCGAATTAATATATAACGTTTTTCATAAATAAAATATTTTCTTTTTACAGATAACCGGATTCCAGTAAACAGACACCTTATGAGGCGGATGCTATCTTCTTTACAAGAGTCAATGATTTTTCTCTATTTGTTAAGCTTGGCAGTCCTGGTGCATAGCCGGGCTACTCGCCATTCACGATGTGAGGTGAGTTGATCTCTTTATATATTTATCTGTTACGCAGCCTCATCTCCCCTACGTACATTTATGGAAACGGGATACATTACGGAATGCCAATAATCGAATATGCTACTGGTTACCGTTAATGGAATATCCTGTTAATAAATAGTGAGACCTAGCTGCTAAGACATCTTGTTTGATTTATTTTTTATTTTTGTTTTAGTTTTATTCATTTTTTTTTTTTTTTTTTTTACTTTACTGATTTAAAAATCATTGTTCATTCTGGCATAGAAAAATGGTGTTATTTGTATAAATAAAAATCGTTGATTTCTCATACAAGATATAAAATCAACGCCATTGTAAAATTACTTAGATATGCCATTTTTATGTGTCTTTTATAGTTTTTAATTATTTACTTGGTATCACCCCATGCAAGGCACTAAAGCCACTAAGACACAAGGGTTTACAAAATGTGGAAGAATTAGGAACAGAAACATTAATAATGAGCAGGAAGAGCAAAGAGCAATCAGCAAGATATTAGATAGCGATTGGCATTGTATTTAAATGCATCCACAAGCGAGAAGTGCGTGTAAAGAGACTTAGAATAGAATGTACAGCTACATCTAGCTAGCTCAACTGTAATTGATGATATATTGATGTTAGTTTAGTACTGCGCTTAAATTAAAAAAAAAAACAAAAAACAAAAAGAACTTAAATAATATAACGAAAAGTGATATTTATTTCCGCTCGTATACATAAAATGCGGCACAAAACCAAAATGGGGAATGGGGAAAAGGACGGTCTTGTTCTGTCTTAATATTAAACTTAGCTAGCCACAAAGACTGGCGCAAATATACAACAATATTCCTAACACCAAAGCAACGCATTCTTACGTACCTTTCTTACTACATTCACCGTAATACCTCATTGTCTCTATGAAAGTCCTAACTAGTCCCCATATGTACAATTCATTGTTTTAACAATTTAAAAACTAGCCCCAATGAGTATTTACGATATGAAAATAAAACTATTTACAAGAAACCAAACAAAATAATGTTAGTAATATCCTCCACTATTCCTTAAATATGACAGAAACATCAGTTAACTGGACGAAATCAATACGGGACACTGATACTATAAAAACATTCAAACATTTCAAACGCCCACTCAAACACAACAACAAATACGAAAATCCCACTGAAAACGATAGACGCCCCGCATCCACCAGAGAACTGACGTCTCTGCTCACCTAACGAGGGAGGGAATGGAAAATTAAACTAAAGAAAAATAGGGGCAGAAATAAAAGGGGTCAATGAGCATACATGCCCTAGCTAAGTTAACTGGAATGCCGAAACTAAGAAGATAAAAAAACAACCCTAAACTGACATAATTTCGGCTGGGGTACCATAGGAAAGCACTCATCCGAACAATAACCATGAAAATATTTTTTAGAAAAGACACAGAGAGGCAACCTTATGGCGATGGGAAAATGACTGTAGCCGAGCCGCCAGATCAGGACTAATAATATTGCTGATTCTTCTTTGGATTTTATCGAGGAGATCAAGGTAAATAGCAGGGACACTTGACAATATGTTGCAGCAATATTCTAAGCATGGACGAATGGTAGACTTATAGAAAAGATGCTGCCTAAATACACACACATTATACATACATACATACATATATATATATATATATATATATATATATATATATATATATATATACTGGGTGTAACAGCAAAATTGTCCGAATCGTGTAACAGCAAAATTTCTCGAGAGAAAAACTGTCTCGCACGACACAATGAACAGACTTTCTTAGCAATTGAAAAGGATTCAATCTAGACATTATATCAGCTGAGAACATTGTGCTCGAGAAGGGAGCAACTAGTCACTTTTCTGGAGGCGTTGGCCAACGACAGGATCAAGTGATGGCGTGTCGAAAAAGTCATTATTTAGCGCGCTTACGACACTTCCGGTTTACAGGATAAGAAGAATAAGAAGGAGAAAAAGAATTATAGTTTCTGATTGAATTTCTGGGATGAAGAGTTATCAACGTACACCTATAGTTCACCATTTTTTTTTAAACATCAACGTTTCGATCATTGTGCCTTCGGGCCTTCAACAGGATTATATCGATCCGAGATTCAAATCTTTTGTTCTTTGAGTAGATCGCCTAGCATTTCACTGCTATATAGAGATCACATATTACATTTCTCCCAAACCCTGTTCTACCATCCATTTACTCAAGCTGATCAAGTATGTTACGCGCTGAATTCCACTATCCCTCTTTTCCTCCATCTGCCCTGTGAGTATCAGATTTTCCAAGCCCTTCTTCCTCATTACGTGGTACAGAAATTTCAACTGCTTTCTGATGATAAGTATAAGTTTCTTTTTTGTTTTCATTTTTTCTAGACCTCGTTGTTGCGCACATGTTCGGTCCATGGTATCCTCAGCATCTTTCTGTAGAACTACATTTCTGTTGCTATAAGTCACTTTATCTGTGAGCATTTAATGCCATACAGGAGGACAGATATCACGTAACAGTTCAATACTCTTTTCTTTGTTTTTAAAGGAGTTTTTCTGTCTCTTAATATAGGTTTTGAAATGCACCTTTGGTCATCCCAATGCGTCTTTGTATCGTAGTGTCACGCTTTCCGTCCGCTGTTAGAACACTTCCCAGATATTTAAATTTTTTTACTTGTTTGATTATAGTACTCCCGATTTTTAATTTGTATTTTGGGATCATCTAGTTGCTGATAACCATGTCTTCTTGTTGTTTATACTTAGTCCTTTCTTCTCGCTTTCCTTCGCTACCTTCTGGAGGAGTCTTTTTTTTGTAGTTTCTAACCTGAACATATTATGTTAAGATTGTTATCTAATTCTCTCAGAACTGCCTCTCTGTATAGGCTGAACATGTCCGGTGAGAAGACACATCCTTGTCTTAGACCCCTTTCTATATTTGTATATGAATACATATTCTATCCGGACGTAGATGGTTAGCTGCAAGTATCGTTTCTTGAAATTTAATTTTATTAATTAAAAATAAAACAATTCCTTCTTGCACTACAACTTCAGAATTAATTACATGTAGTGCTGCCCTGGGTCAAGAAGGTGACTGCTGGAAGACACTATGTCTAGAAACAGGATACTGCACCATGCTACACAAGCGGGTGTACCCAGTCATGGCTTTCAGACAATTTCTGCGACCACATCATCCCTTACATCTGACCACCTAACTCACCAGACTGCAACCCCCTTGATTATTATATGTGGGGTGCAGTTGAGGGAGAGACCAACAGAACTCTTTTTAATACTAAAGATAAACTGAAGGCAAGGATTATGGCAGCATTCAACAAGGGGACCGTCCAGAAGAGTTGCGGGAGATTCCGAAGTCGTCTGTACTCCGTAGTTGAAGACAATGGCGATTTTATTGAATAAATTTATTCTTTAGTATTTCAAGATATTTTTGTGTGATTTTTGTAGATATATTTGTTAAAAGGATATATCAGTGTTAGTTTCCTTTTTATGGCATTTAGACGACAATTTATCCATCGCACCCTGTATATCTGTATAAAATGAGATGCCAGCGTCATTTTCATTTTTGCTTTCATTTAGACGACAATTTATCCATCGCGCCTTGTATATCTGTTAAAATGAGAGGTCAGCGTCATTTCCCTTTGCGCATGCTTTAGACGACAATTCATCAATAGCGACCTGTATGTCTGTTAAAATGAGATGCCAGTGCTATTTTCATTTTTTGTTTAATTTAAACGACAATTTATCCATCGCACTCTGTATATCGATAAAGATCACAGGTTGCACATGCAGAGAATATTACCAATATAACTGTAGTATTACAATTTTTTCCGCTTGGTATTATTTATTTCATGCACTAAATTTCACCCCCTACAAAGTGCGAGAGATGTTGAATATTAAAATGATTATAATACTGCAGACACCCGTTAATCTCGCGATATAAAGGTAACACCGTGTTTGGTGAAGAAATTAGAGTCATCTCTTCAGGGCGCCTCTTCCCATCCTCGATCGTACCAACAAGATCCAAAGCACAATGATTTAACTGTCTTAACTCTTTGTTCATCAGACCAACCAGTGGCTGTGACTTTCCATTATGAGGGCATTGAGTCGGCAGTTTGTTGGCTGCTGCCTCCAACTGGTTGTTACAAGCTCGAACTCTTTGGTAGCGCTTAGAGAGGCTGCTCCGATCAGTAGTCGCATAATATATATATATATATATTGTTTTGTCGTGCATGGGTAGGTGTCCTTGCATGGATTTCCGTTGGGCAACACATTATGCTCAGCACTCAGCTACGCACCGGTTGGTTTTATTGCAATTGACGACAGATAGTGACAATTATGGTGTTTTTTTTCTTTCTCCTCGAAACATATCTCTTTGAAATCACGACAAAAAGAAATAAAACTAAACCAGTTAACAAAAACAATCTACCCCCACTCAATCTTTCGACAGATATCTTTGACCTCTGTGAAACCAACTTGAATTCTTCCATTGCTACCAATGAACTCTTGATTCCAGAGTATGTGGCGAATAAATTCCAGCGTTCACATACATGGCATTGGTGTTTACATCCGGAATAATCTTCTGATGGTCAAGGAATTGTCTCTCAAGCCCACTGACTATTCTTTCATGTGCTTCCGTATTTCGCTACTAAAATCTGTCAACTATCTCTTTTTCCTTTATCGCTCCCCTTCTTCCTAAGACTGCAGTATATTAGACGTAATAGCAGAATGTACAGAAAAGGCACTTTCTCTCCATCTATCTGAGAACATCTTTGTCTTCGATGACTTTAATATTCACCAGGATACATGACTGAAACGTTATAAAGGTACTGATGTTGCCGGTAATTTTTTTCCATTGCTTAATCACTCACTCAAATTGTGGACTTCCTTACACGTTTCCTTAGACAAACCGATCAAAATGCTTCTCTACTGGATCTATGTCTTACCTCTTTTTCCTAGCTCTTGCCAAGCTTCACAATACTGGCCTCTTGGTAACTCGGGACCACTCTGTGGTAGCTATTAATATCTCCTTCCAAGCATTCATTAAACAGAGACCCCCTATCCATAAGACCTCGTCCCGTTACCAGCACGCTGATTGGGACTCATTTTGGGATTTTCTTCGTGATAGCCTTTAGACTGACATCTTCAACCTGCCAACTGAAAATTGCGCCACTAAGGTTTCTTCTTGGGTCAAAGCTGGCATGGATGATTTCATCTCTTCTGGGAAATATCAGATGAAACCGCAATCCACTCCATGGTTCACACCAGCATGCTCGACCACCATAGCTCACAGAGACCATTACTTCCGGCTATACCAGTATGACAGCTCTCGTCATAACAGGTGCCTATTAGCTACTGCTCGTTACAAATGTAAACGAGCCCTCGAAGAAGCTAAGTCCCTGTTTCCTCAGAGAATGAGGCACCGCATAGCATCTAAAAATTTTGCTTCTCAAGATTACTGGCGTCTCTGTAATAGAGTACTGAATAATTGCAGAGTCTCTATCCCCACGTCGATTTGAGGTGTTATCGTCCTCTGCTGAAAAAAGCCGAATGTTTTGCCCGTAAATTCTCCTCAAACTTTACTCTTGGGGTATCCCCGTCTAACCTCCCACTTAGAACTGATTCTCTGTTAAATGATATGCATATAATCCCTTCCATTATTTCTGCTATCCTCTCTAACCTTGATCTTCAGAAAATATGTGTATCTGATGGTATCCCTGTAATAGTTACTAAGAACTGTGTCTCTGAACTGACTCTTGTTCTCTCTAAACTGTATAATAAATGCCTCGCTGCCTCCTGCTTGCTGGAAGTCATCGTCTGTTGTTCCAGTGTTTTAAGAACGTTGGTGGACCCATCCAACTATCGGCCTATTAGCATTCCGACTCTTTTTGGGAAACTCCTAGAGGCCCCAATCACCGCTGAATTGGTTCTTCATCTCTTATCACAGGACAGAAAACAATATAGCTTTCGTTTCTCCAGATCAATTGATGATGTACTAACAATAATCGTGGAAAGAATGTACCATGCACTAGGTGAAAACGGTGAAGTCCGGACTGTAGCAAGGAACATCTCGAAAGCCTTTGACAGGGTCTGGAATCCAGGTCTTCTCCACAAGCTGAAAAGTTACGGTATATGCGGCCACGTTTTTGAGCTGATCCTGTAGTTCCTATCTAATTGTGAAATGAAAGTTATCCTGAACGGCCACTCGTCTAAATCCTTTTGTACTAACGTGGGTATGCCCATGAGCTCCACCCTTGGTCCTATGCTGGTTTTAAACTTCGTTAACGAACTTTTCGACGACATCAGCTCTCAACCTTGGCGTCTACGCTGACGACACTACCATTTACTCCTGCCTCGAGAGTGATGCTGGTCAGTCCGACAATCTCAGAATAGGAGCAGATGTACAAAACGACCCCAAGACCGGGTAAAAAAGACGGCTTATCAATTTCAACGCCTCCAAAAATAAACTTCTTTCCATTAATCATCTGAGAGAACCTACACTGCCTTCCATCATAGCTGATGCTATCCTCCAAGAAAGTGACTCCTTGCTCGGTTTGTCTAGGGAAACGAGTAAGGAAGTCCACGATTTGAGTGAGAGATTGGGCAATGGAAAAATTTTATGCCTGTATACCGGCAACAACAGTACCTTTATAACGTTTCAGTCATGTGTCCTGGTGAATATTAAAGTCATCGAAGACAAAGATGTTCGCAGATAGATGGAGAGAAAGTGCCTTTTCTAATGTTCTCAGATGACATGAGGTGGAAATAATACACTGAATCCATGAAGAAAATCGGTTCATTGTATCGGGTGAGACAATTCTTTTCTCCGGAATCTATCTTGAAAATCTATAAGTATATCATTAGTCCATGCTTAGAATATTGCTGACATAAATGGCCCGGTAGCCCTGCTATTTACCTTAAGTGCTTGAAAAGATCCAAAGAAGAAACAGCAATATTATTAGTCTTGATCTGGCAGTTCGGTTTTAGTCCCTTACTCACCACTGCAGGGTCGCCTCTCTGTGTCTCTTTTATAAATACTTCCATGGAAATTGTTCGAATGTGTTATGGTACTTAGACTATATGAACTTAAGCCCAGTAATAGACTGGTAGCGAGATCTCATCAGTTTACAGTTGAGCTGGCTAGATATAAACGTAACTTCTATGCTAACATTGTCTTATCACGCACTTTGCGCTTGTGGAACTCGCTTCCAGCTCCATACTTTCCAACCAACTTTAACCTGCAAAAATTTAAATGCAATGTCAATTGCTATCTACTGTCCTCACGATTACTCTTTTCTTTCTCCTCATTACGAATGTCTCTGTTCCGAATTCGTCCACATCCAGTAACTCTTTGCGTGCTAGTGGCTTAATTCCTTGCTTGGGGTGATATCAATTAAAATTCTCTCTCTCTCTCTGTCTCTATCTCTCTCTCTCTCTCTCTCTATATATATATATATATATATATATATATGCCCGTGTTCCACTCGAATAATATATCACGTATATTTACACAGCAATGCAGTGTGTAAAGAGAAAAAAAGGTAAGGGTCTTGCATATTATATGGAGATACTCCTGTGTCTGGAGAAAGCATGTTTAGGACTCCAGATTCAAACGGACCATATTCTAGGCGAGGACTTATTCCACGAACGGGAAACAGTGAATCTTGGGTTTGCCTAAATTGAGGACTGCGAGCTGGAGTTTCATTCAATATCTGGGAAAGATATATTCCTAAACTGAAACGGCACCATGCGTTTGTAAGCTGCTGGAGAGGCAGATTTATCCTCACCCCTACTCAACACATAGCCTCGGCTAAAGAAAGCAAAATATCGCTTTGGCTGCTCTAAAACGACCTGTATTTGACTGACGCTATCTTCACTGTATGTAGTGACGTCACTAAGCGGCTGCCATGTGACCCACGCGACATCTCCACCAAAGGGAGATAAGCGCCTTCTGTATCTTGACAGTTTGAACTGGTGGAACAAAAAAAATGAAGCGCCTGTGATTATTTAACATGGAAATAAGGAGAGATTATGAATAGGCTCACGACGTTACGTCTGTGGGAAAGAGGTCGCATGTTGTAGAACATGTCTTCACACAAAAGACCGTGTAAACAATTTCGAACTCTATCAAATGGCGACTGAAAAGTTCTAGCCCAGATATGGCAGATATACTATTTTTTTGATCTAATCTGACTCTTGTAAAGATAAAGCATGACAGAAAGAAGCAGGTACTTCCTTGAGCGATAGAATTAGACAACCATTTTCCCACCATCGTTAGCAATGGTTCGTACATATGAATTCCACTTAAGGTCCTGGAGGGTTCTACTTAATATATTATCAATTCACAATTTTTGGCAGCAAGCCGCAAGTGTTGGTAACAAAATGGAGCTTAACTCCTTAATCATAACCTGTGAGATCTTCTCAGTAACTCTTTTGCCACAGTAGGGTGCATCTATTTATTTATTTTTTTAATTGATTAAAATCCCACTCTAAATGCTGATATGCTATCTCCATATGAACAATCTCTTATCAGGAATGTCGAAAATCGTTTTATTTGTGGATCAGAGAAATTTGCTTACAGGGTTTTAGCTTATCATTAGGCTGTGTACTTAGTGACGTACCCAAATGATATATACATATGTGCGTGCGTGTGTTTGTGTGTGTGTGTGTCTCTCTCTCTCTCTCTCTCTCTCTCTGTGTGTGTGATAGAGAGGGGAGTGTGTGTGTGTGTGTGTGTGTGTGTGTGTGTGTGTGTGTTCTTTACTAACCGTTTTTTTTTATTTCCTGTCCTTTCTTTTTTCTGTTGTATCAGTTTTTCCTTTCACTGTCATTTTTTAAGTCGCTTTCTACGTCGCTATATTTTTCTTTCTTTCTTTCCTTGCTATTTACTTTTGTCTTTCATTTTTTCTTTTTTTCTTATCTACCTTTTTCTTCCCTTTTTCCATTGCTTTCTATCTTTATTTTTCTTCTTTCCTATCTACGTTTTCTTTCTTTCTTTCTTTCTTTCTTTCTTTCTTTCTTAGCTATCAACCTTTTCCCTTCTTTGCTTGCTATGTGCCTTTTTCTTTCTTTCTTCGTTATCCATATTTGTCTTTCAATCTTTCTTTCTTTGCTATATATCTTTTGTTTGTTTGTTTCTTTCTTTCCTTTCTTTCTTTCTTTCTTTACTATCTACCTTTATCTTTCTTTCTTTGCTATCTAACTTTAACTTTCTTTCTTTCTTCCTTTCTTTCTTTCTTTCTTTTTTCTTTCTTTCTTTCTTGTTTGTTTCTTTGTTTCTTTCTTGTTTGCTACACGCCTCTTTCTTTTTTTTTAAAATCATTTCAATTCAAGCAAGGTAAGCCACTAAGTCACAAGGAATTATTGAGTTTGAATAAAAAAGAAATATAAAACTTTTTTAAAGAACGAGTACAATAAATGAATAGGAATCACGAAGACTTTTTCTATGAGTCAACGTTTGTTGAATAAAAACTGAGAGAAAGTGTTAATGACGATATTTATTTAGCGAAAAATACACGATTTCTTACGATCACAAAATAAAAGTTCTTCTCTCCGACTGAAAAGGGAAGGAATATTAATAGTCTTTCAGTGAGAAAGGGAGAAATTGGAGTTGGGAGACAAGATCGAAGGGGATCCGCTGTGGCTTTGACGAGAAAGACAAGATGGCGAAGTTGACTCGTGTCTCTTTACAGCTGTAAGTCTTTATGTTGAGTTGAATGGATATCTGGTTTATATGTCTTCGCATAGGCCCCAGAAGCCTATGTTTATTTATTAGCGAGAGATGATTTTATTACTATTCTTTATTTTTTTTATTAATTTGAAAATTTGAAATATGTTTGAAACCGGAAGGCTGCATCGAGCTTTTGCGCGGTTTGTTTGTTTTTGTAATTTGATGTTTTGATTTGTAACAGTTAACTTCCGTTTACTCTACAGCAGTAGATAACGATTGATAATGCCTTTAAATTTTTGAGGGTCAACGTTTGATGGGAAGTAAGTTTTTCTTTCTTTCTTTCTTTCTTTCTTTCTTTCTTTCTTTTGTTATCATCCTCATCCTTTCTTTTTTTCTTAGTTTCTTTCATGTTTGCTATACTCCCAAAACATCATTCTTTCTTTCTTTCTTTCTTTCTTTCTTTCTTTCTTTCTTTCTTTCTTTCTTTCTATTAGGGTTTGTCCATTCATTACTTGATGTACTTTTCTTTCTTTTTCGCTATAATCGCAGAACAGCATTCTTTCTTTCTTTCTTTCTTTCTTTTCTTCTTTCTTTATTTCTTTCTTTTTTCTTTCTTTCTTTGATATACTTTCTTTCTTGTTCGCTATACTCCTCTTTCTTTCTTTCTTTCTTTCTTTCTTTCTTTAATGTACTTTTCTTTCTATCTTGTTTGCTATATTCGTCTTTCTTTCTTTCTTTCTTTCTTAACCCAAACAGCAAAATTAAAATTTCTAAATCCTTAATATTCCTGCCCTACTCTGTAATTTCAAGACATATTTCGCAGCATTCTTTCTTTCTTTCTTTCTTTCTTTCTTTCTTTCTTTCTTTTCTTTCTTTCTTTCTTTTGTTATCATCCTCATTCTTTCTTTTTTTCTTAGTTTCTTTCTTTCATGTTTGCTATACTCCCAGAACATCATTCTTTCTTTCTTTCTTTCTTTCTTTCTTTCTTTCTTTCTTTCTTTTGTTATCATCCTCATTCTTTCTTTTTTTTTCTTAGTTTTCTTTTTTCATGTTTGCTATATACTCCCCAGAACATCATTATTTCTTTCTTTCTTTTTTCTTTCTTTTCTTTCTTTCTTTCTTTCTTTTCTTTCTTTTGCTTCTTTATTTTTCTTTCTTTCTTTCTTTCTTTCTTTCTTTCTTTCTTTCTTTCTTTCTTTCTTTCTTTCTTAACCCAGAACAACAAAATTAAAATTTCGAAATCCTTAATATTCCCGCCCTTCTCTTTAATTTCAAGACATATTTCATTGCTGTTTTTGTTCCAAGCAAGAACTCGCGTTGGCAAAATCTCAAACCGTTTCTTCCATACTTTCAAGCTAAGTGTTATCAGGCAGCACCTGCCTCTTGTGTTGTTTCTTCACCTCTAAATTCGTATGGAAGCCTTTCTGTCTTTGGCAACGATCAACACTTCTAACACTGAACACAATTCTTCATCAAGCTCCGCCCTGTTGAAAAGAATTTTTTTTTTTTTTTTTTTTTTAACCCGCAGTTTCAAGTCATACACTAAGAAAGTGGGCAAAACTTTTCTTGGCTTGACAAAAAAAAAAAAAAAAAAAGAAGAAAAAATTCTATTGATAAATTGTTAAGAGAATTTTGGAATTTGAGCCGTGTCACGTAATAATAGTTATATTTACATCTACAATTCTTCCACTAAATGTAACAAATATTATGGAACAGAGGTCTTATTTTTTATTATATTTATTGTCCCTTGATACTTGATACATTCTCATGCACATTTCTTACGCGGAATGTAACAAATATTATGGGACAGAGGTCTCATTTTTTTATTATATTTATTACATTTATTGTCCAATAATACTTGATACATTCTCATGCAGATTTCTTACGTGGAATGTAACAAATATTATGGGACAGAGGTCTTATTTTTTATTATATTTATTGTCCAATAATACAAGATACATTCTCATGCACATTTCTTACGCGGAATGTAACAAATATTATGGGACAGAGGTCTCATTTTTTTATTATATTTATTACATTTATTGTCCAATAATACTTGATACATTCTCATGCAGATTTCTTACGCGGAATGTAACAAATATTATGGGACAGAGGTCTTATTTTTTATTATATTTATTACTTTTATTGTCCCATAATAGTTGATACATTCTCATGCAGATTTCTTACACGGAATGTAACAAATATTATGGTACAGAGGTCTTATATTTTATTATATTTATTACTTTTATTGTCCCATAATAGTTGATACATTCTCATGCCGATTTCTTACACGGAATGTAACAAATATTATGGTACAGAGGTCTTATTTTTTATTATATTTATTACTTTTATTGTCCCATAATAGTTGATACATTCTCATTTAGGTTTCATAGGCGAAATGTAACAAATATTATAGGACAGAGGTCCTATTTTTTATTATATTTATTGTCCAATAATACTTGATACATTCTCATGCAGATTTCTTACGCGGATGGGACAGAGGTCTTATTTTTTATTATATTTATTACATTTATAGTCCCATAATACTTGATACATTCTCATTTAGGTTTCATAGGCGAAATGTAACAAATATTATAGGACAGAGGTCTTTTTTATTATATTTATTGTCCAATAATACTTGATACATTCTCATGCAGATTTTTCTTATGGATGGGACAGAGGTCTTATTTTTTATTATATTTATTACATTTATAGTCCCATAATACTTGATACATTCTCATTTAGGTTTCATAGGCGAAATGTAACAAATATTATAGGACAGAGGGTTTTTTATTATATTTATTGTCCAATAATACTTGATACATTCTCATGCAGATTTCTTACGCGGATGGGACAGAGGTCTTATTTTTTATTATATTTATTGTCCCATAATACTTGATACATTCTCATGCAGATTTCTTACGCGGAATGTAACAAATATTATAGGACATAGGTCTTTTTTATTATATTTATTATATTTATTGTCCAATAATACTTGATACATTCTCATGCAGATTTCTTACGCGGAATGTAACAAATATTATGGGACAGAGGTCTTATTTTTTATTATATTTATTGTCCAATAATACTTGATACATTCTCATGCAGATTTCTTACGCGGATGGGACAGAGGTCTTATTTTTTATTATATTTATTACATTTATAGTCCCATAATACTTGATACATTCTCATTTAGGTTTCATAGGCGAAATGTAACAAATATTATAGGACAGAGGTCTTTTTTATTATATTTATTGTCCAATAATACTTGATACATTCTCATGCAGATTTCTTACGCGGATGGGACAGAGGTCTTATTTTTTATTATATTTATTACATTTATAGTCCCATAATACTTGATACATTCTGATTTACATTCTCATTAACAAATTTTATAGGACGAAATATTAACAAATATTATAGGACAGAGGTCTTATTTTTATTATATTTTTATTTTGTCCAATAATAACAAATATTATGTCTTTTTTTATTATATTTATTCTCATGATAGATTTCTTGCAGATTTCTTACGCGGATGGGACAGAGGTCTTATTTTTTATTATATTTATTACATTTATAGTCCCATAATACTTGATACATTCTCATTTAGGTTTCATAGGCGAAATGTAACAAATATTATAGGACAGAGGTCTTTTTTATTATATTTATTGTCCAATAATACTTGATACATTCTCATGCAGATTTTTACGCGGATGGGACAGAGGTCTTATTTTTATTATATTTATTGTCCCATAATACTTGATACATTCTCATTTTGCAGATTTCTTAGGGGGAATGTAACAAATATTATAGGACATAGGATTTCTTTTTATTATATTTATTATATTTATTGTCCAATAATACTTGATACATTCTCATGCAGATTTCTTACGCGGAATGTAACAAATATTATGGGACAGAGGTCTTATTTTTATTATATTTATTGTCCAATAATACTTGATACATTCTCATGCAGATTTCTTACGCGGATGGGACAGAGGTCTTATTTTTTATTATATTTATTACATTTATAGTCCCATAATACTTGATACATTCTCATTTAGGTTTCATAGGCGAAATGTAACAAATATTATAGGACAGAGGTCTTTTTATTATATTTATTGTCCAATAATACTTGATACATTCTCATGCACAGATTTCTTACATGGATGGGACAGAGGTCTTATTTTTTATTATTTTTTGTTATATTTATTACATTTATAGTCCCATAATACTTGATACATTCTCATTTATTGTCCAATAATTTTATTCTCAGGCGAAATGTAACAAATATTATGGGACAGAGGTCTTATTTTTTTATTATATTTATTGTCCAATAATACTTGATACATTCTCATGCAGATTTCTTACGCGGATGGGACAGAGGTCTTATTTTTTATTATATTTATTACATTTATAGTCCCATAATACTTGATACATTCTCATTTAGGTTTCATAGGCGAAATGTAACAAATATTATAGGACAGAGGTCTTTTTTTATTATATTTATTGTCCAATAATACTTGATACATTCTCATGCAGATTTCTTACGCGGATGGGACAGAGGTCTTATTTTTTATTATATTTTTATTTTGTCCCATAATACTTGATACATTCTCATTTAGGTTTCATAGGCGAAATGTAACAAATATTATAGGACATAGGTCTTTTTTTATTATATTTATTATATTTATTGTCCAATTTCTTAATGGGACAGAGGTCTGATTTTTTATTATATTTATTACATTTATAGTCCCATAATAGATACATTTCTCATTTAGGTTTCATAGGCGAATGTAACAAATATTATAGGACAGAGGTCTTTTTTTATTATATTTATTGTCCAATAATACTTGATACATTCTCATGCAGATTTCTTACGCGGATGGGACAGAGGTCTTATTTTTTATTATATTTTGATACATTTTATAGTCAAATAATATTCTTACATAGGTCTTTTTATTTATTTATTATATTTAGGTTTCATATTTTTTACGCGGAAATTTAACAAATATTATAGGACAGAGGTCTTATTTTTTATTATATTTATTGTCCAATAATACTTGATACATTCTCATGCAGATTTCTTACGCGGATGGGACAGAGGTCTTATTTTTTATTATATTTATTACATTTATAGTCCCATAATACTTGATACATTCTCATTTAGGTTTCATAGGCGAAATGTAACAAATATTATAGGACAGAGGTCTTTTTTATTATATTTATTGTCCAATAATACTTGATACATTCTCATGCAGATTTCTTACGCGGATGGGACAGAGGTCTTATTTTTTATTATATTTATTACATTTATAGTCCCATAATACTTGATACATTCTCATTTAGGTTTCATAGGCGAAATGTAACAAATATTATAGGACAGAGGTCTTTTTTATTATATTTATTGTCCAATAATACTTGATACATTCTCATGCAGATTTCTTACGCGGATGGGACAGAGGTCTTATTTTTTATTATATTTATTACATTTATAGTCCCATAATACTTGATACATTCTCATTTAGGGTTTCATAGGCGAAATGTAACAAATATTATAGGACAGAGGTCTTTTTATTATATTTATTGTCCAATAATACTTGATACATTCTCATGCAGATTTCTTACGGATGGGACAGAGGTCTTTTTTTTTATTATATTTATTGTCCCATAATACTTGATACATTCTCAGGCAGATTTTTACGCGGAATGTAACAAATATTATAGGACATAGGTCTTTTTTTATTATATTTATTATATTTATTGTCCAATAATACTTGATACATTCTCATGCAGATTTCTTACGCGGAATGTAACAAATATTATGGGACAGAGGTCTTATTTTTATTATATTTATTGTCCAATAATACTTGATACATTCTCATGCAGATTTCTTACGCGGATGGGACAGAGGTCTTATTTTTTTTTATTATATTTATTACATTTATAGTCCCATAATACTTGATACATTCTCATTTAGGTTTCATAGGCGAAATGTAACAAATATTATAGGACAGAGGTCTTTTTTATTATATTTATTGTCCAATAATACTTGATACATTCTCATGCAGATTTCTTACGCGGATGGGACAGAGGTCTTATTTTTATTATATTTATTACATTTATAGTCCCATAATACTTGATACATTCTCATTTATTTAGGTTTATTATAGGCGAAATTATATTTATTGTCCAAAATATTATAGATTTCTTACGCGGATGGGACAGAGG